ACGTGGCACAAATTGTATATTATTTTGTTACAATTCCAATGTGAGACTGTATTCTCTCAACTTAGTAGCAAGATGGACCTAAGAAGATTTGGTTATATTCATAATATACAACATCACCGATAGTGTTCTCATACTTACCCCCTATTACTAGGTGTAAAGTTTTATTACAAAAAACATCAGTATTAAAAGTACTTAATGTTCCATATAAAAAATTGTATGTATTTTGTTATAATTTCCAATGTAAGATTGTATTCTCTCAACTTAGTTGCATTTAGTAACAGGATGGATATGAAAAGATTTGGTTATATTTGGAATATACATCTCTAGTTGTGAACTCTCTCAATAAGGTTTTATCCAACCCAGTGTCCACCACCCCTTTTTTTTTTTCCTTTGGGTTTGTTTGGATAAAGGACTGAAAAAAGGGCTTGGGATTGGAAGGAGAGAGAATTTGAAGTTCCAATTTAAACACCTTGTTTGGACTAAGGAGGGATCTAGAAGGCACAAGATTAGATTAGGGGATTAAATAGGGGTTTACCTAAACAAAAATGCACATAGACAAAACCCACCTCCGAAGGTGGGTTTCCGCAATCCCACAGCACTCTCGTCTAGGGGTGGGCAAACGGTTCCTGGATCCGCGGGGCGGGCCGGTTCCTTGCGGTTCGGGGCAGGTCCAAAAATTAAAAATACAAAACGGGGCGGGCCGGTTTCTTATAAATAACGGGGCGGGCCGATTCCAAAAATTAGAAACAACGGGCCCCCAACTCAGATCGTTCATTGCGTTTGTGATATGCCCTATATTATTACCCATTTACATAGTCTCGCTTGTTCTCACTCTTAGGCCCAATTCATACTCAAGCCTTCACCCTCTCTATCCTGAGTCGCCGCTCAACTCTCTCATCATCCTCTCTCTCTAATTCTCATTCTTAAACCTCAATCTCGATCTCCTCTTTCTCGATCTCAGACCCCAATCTCAATCTCTGATTCTCAATATCCTCCCTTTTGATCTCTCTCTCTCTCTCTCTATTTCTCCGATAATGCACCTTCGTCGGTTTTCGCTCCTTCCCGAACCCAAGATTGCCCGACGGGAGCTCAATCAGGAGGTTTTGGACGCGGTGGAACGAGCGGAGGATCTGGGAGGGCAAATTCTGAGAGCGGGTTTGGGTCGGGTAGGGCTTGGCTGAGATGAGGTCTTGGAGCTATTTGAGGATGGATTTAAGGAAGGCGACGAGGAAAACTGAGTTTGTGTGGGGATAATGCGGTTGATGGTTGGGTTATGCGAGTTTGTGTGGGGATAACGAGTCTGGGACCGTTTGACACGGTCAACTGTTGGGGTGAGACGAGGTCCTTTATGCTTCCATTTTTGTGTTTGAGCTAAATCTGCACTGGATTGGTGATTGGATGTGATCTGTGCAAAATGTGTGCAAATGTTGAATTGAATATGTGCAAAACTGAAATGTTACGGTTTTTTTTTTTTTTAAATATATATATATAACCAAAAAAAAAACCCAAGGACTCGTAGACCCGGCCCAAACCAGCCCATTTCAACAGGGCCGAATTAGGTCTGGTTCCTATATTACAAACTACTATCCCCGGCCCGTTTCTTATTCACACGGGTCTGGTCCGGTCCCTCCAAAAATGGACCCGGCCCATGCCCACCCCTACTCTCGTCTCTCTCTTACTCCCTACACTTTTGATCACTCCCGTTTCATTCGTCACTCTCTCTTGCATTGCAGCGTCGTCATGTCTCCTCCAACATCATCATCATCCCCACAAGGGCAATGCCCATAAGGGGCACATATACAAATATAGTTGCTGCATTGTTGGTCTATAGGCACATATGTTGGTGCTCTTTGGCCTCAAAAGGCACATATAATTTATTGTGTCCAGTGGCCATATTTTTTGTAGTGTAGAACGAGGAGTCTCAAAGCAGATATGCCTCATAGATGAGAAGTGACATACCAAGCACCGAAACCTTCACAAAAGCCATCACAAAACAGCTAGGTTACAAAATCGCCACATCAACACAAACAACTTTCCGAAGCAACACTGATAAAACATAAAAACTACATCAAAACAACAAAAGAACCGATGACGTGTCCACAATAGAGATGCAGGTACAGAATTGGCAAGAGGCGTGGGTAGCAGAGGAATGTGCAAGATTGCCAGGGGCACGGGACGCCAGCTGTAGCTGGGACAACGCACAGAGGGGTAGGGCAGAAGGTGGTGTTACACACACACACACACACTCATTTTTATTTTTCACACACCTCTTTCAATATTTGGCTTTCATATCGAACAAATTAATGACGATTAACAAACAAAAATTAACAAAGTTGTGTGGAAAATAAATGTGAGTTGGATATTTCCTCTTAAGGATTGGGCTCACAAAAAATCCTATTCCTAACTTGGGCCTACGAGAATATAATTCCTCTTATGGAAAATTCTAAAACAAGAGTCAAACTTTTTCCATGACGTCAACAGATCCCATGCACTGTTGTGTGCTCCCACAGTCCATGGCTTCCAAGGCTATACGCAATAAGTGACATGCAAAAGGCTTGCATGGTTTCCACGTTTCCAATGTGTAGTTTCTCTACGTGTAAGCCCCAAAACAATCCTTAGCTCTTCAAGCGGTACCTCTCCCAAACCGCTTAAAAATAGAACATTTCAAACTACAAGAAAGGAATTAATACTCAAAAACTAGTGTGTCCAGATCAACATCATGGCTGCTACATCTCAATCTTCAGACTCTTCACTACCCAAGTTAGGTAATTAAGTAAGCTCATAGATGTTAAATACTTAATTAATTAACTTTTAAGGCCTTAATAATTGTCTCACTCGTTATTTTGGTATGTAGATACTGTGAGAGATATACTCCTGTGGAGGAAGAAGAAGCAGAGTTTTCTGGTTCTTTTCACAGCAACAGCGACATGGATTTTGTTGGACGTCTATCAATTCAATTTCCTCACTGTAATTTCATACGTTGCCATGTTTATTGTCACTTCGTTGTTCCTTTCTGGCAACTTGCTTAGGCTTCTCGGCAAGTAAGCTGAGCTCCCCTATACTTTTAACTTCCCCTTTGTTTTTGTTTCTTTCTTCAATAATTGTTTTATGAGTTTTACATTTGGTTTGCTTATTTCCAGAGAGCCTCCAGATTTGTCAAGAGTTGGAATTACAGAGAAGTCCGCTTTGGAGATGGGAAACACCGTTCGTGCTTGGGTTGAAGAAGGAATTCGATGGATGTTTCAGGTGGCTGCGGAGAGAGAGTGGTTTGTATTTGTTGGAACTGTCTCTGGTTTGTGGTTGCTCTCCGGTGTAGCAAGATGCGTTGATCTACTTACCCTTCTTTATATAGGTAATAACTCGTATAAGGAAACTTCTTAATTCACTTGCTTACAGACACATATATACTTATGTTATTAGATTGCGTATTTGGACCGTTATTAGGTTTTTCAAGTCGGAAGAGAATGTATCCAAATTAACAGTTTGGAACCACAAGCACTTTAATATAGCAACAGAATTCAGGCTGGAGAACAGTACTTTTTTTTTTTTTAATTATTATTATTATAGTATCTTCACAAATTAATTTCATTTCTTTCTAGTAGATAATTTGTTATCTGATACATATCCACTAAGGTCCCTACTAAGGGTGTCCGATTATAACGGGGTAGGGTGTCCTTAATTTGACTTCGACAAGAGGTGATGAAGAATCCCGCACCCTTACCGGACAAAACTAGTTCAACTGTATATTATGCACATATTAGTAATAGTAAACTAGAAGAAAAAAAAAAAAAAAACACCCCGACGTACAATAGAGAGAAATAAACTCTTACATATCTACTTGTGACGTTCTAATTTATTCATAGTTGTGAACTCCATTACCATTGGTTTATCCTAAACTCTTGGGTTTGAAGTGTTTTCCTCAAAAGTTATCAAGGTTCACATACTATTAGTATTCATATGCTAAAGCAAATGAAAACATTGCACGTATTTAATAATCCTAGCTAGGAATACGAGGATGAATAATTGGGATGCTAATTAATGTTGCGCGCGTAGGTACCGTTATGGGCATGACAGCTCCAGCAATGTATGTGAAATACGAGGACAAGATAGAGAGGAGTGAGGAGAAGTTGAAGGCACAGTTGAAAAGGTACTATGACACGCTTGATGAGAAGGTAGTCAAGAAAATACAGAACAAGGTGACAGTCGGGGAAAAGAAGGTGAAGAAGGTTGAGTAGCTGTTTAATTTGTATGCGTTGCTTGGGAAGTAGTATCCGCAGTACAGTACTCTACGTATATTTCTCCAAGTTAGTTGTAACTTGTAATTACTTCTTGATCAAGAAACAAGACCACGCATGCTTGATCTTGTCTTTCCGTAGTATATATGTATATTCATGTTGTTAGAGTCCATGAGCAACGGGGCTCTAATAAATCAACAAACAATGTTGGCAACTGACATCAAGAGTCTTAAAAAGCGAGGGGTTTTTAAAAGGCAGTTAGATTTTACTTTCAAGGTCGAATATGCTCTGTTTAACTGCCTCTTAGAAGGGAGAGAGCAACTTGTATGCACGGTACACTGTCACAATCTCTGTGTCCTTCTAATGATGGAAGGACACACATAAAAATTAACACACATCCTGTATTATTTTCCTCGAATGTCCAGAATGTTAGTATGGCGGTGTATCCGTGTCATACAAGATCTTCGTTGGAACAGGACATATTCCTGAAGTTGACAAGGTGTGGCCATGTATCCGCACATACAAGTTCCTTAGAAGAGGACATATTCCAGAAATTGACAAGGTGACACTCGGGGAATTAGGTAGGAAAAGAAGGTTCCGTAGCTGCTTAATTGCATGGGTATGCTTGGAAGGCTTCTGCACTTCAAAATTTCTTGAATCTTGAACTTCTCAGCAGCTTCGTTGTAATTTATCTGTCACCAGTACTCTTGTCAATTAAGTCCTTGCTTTGATATTGTCTTTTCATTGGTATTAGACCAAGTCCAAGTCCAAGCGTAGGACTTTTCTTTTCCTAAGTAAATTCTGAAACTTATAATTCTTTATTTTATCCCACAAGAAACGGATTCCTATAAATAAATCAAGCATATATCCTCTCTCAAACCACATATTAGAGCTGCGAAATCTAGTTCCAAAAGGTACTAATGGAAAAAATTCTTCTAGATGCTACAATAGGACGCGCACTGGAGGCGCTGCTAGGAGCTGTCTTGCAAGCCAGGGAGAGAGCGCATATGTATGAGTCTATTCTTGCACAGTTAGAATGCACGATTCATACAATAACTCCAAAAATCAGTGAAATCGACCGTCTTTCTGACGAAGATTTCCCAGACGATGTCATCCATCGAATACGCCAACAGCTGATTCAAGGGAAGGAGCTAGTTGATAAGTGCTCGAATGCAGGTGGCTGCAACTTCTGCAAGGGGCAAAGGTACTACAAGAAGCTCCTCGAGTTGGACGAGTCTCTTCGGAGGCTGATTACCATTGATTTGCAAGTTAAGGTGGCATTGGATGTTGTAAGGATTTCAAACGAGATGAAGGCAATATGTAGGAGATGGGATCAAATGGATGTGAATGGAGGAGGTGGGAGGGGTTGGATTTTCAATCTAAGTGGAAGTAGGGTTTTGGGTAATAAGTTTTCCGGACTCAAGAGGTTTGTGCAATCTGTGAATTCAGCACCAAAGAGAATCCTTATAAATTTGGTTACATGTGGGGCAATTACAGGTCAATAACAGCAGCTTAGTTCTGTCCAAACTCGGAGATATGCAATTGATAAGTAACATAATGAGCTCAATAATTTGAAAGGAAAAGAAAATATCTTTTTTATGTATTTATGCTTACAACATGCTAGGATAGGAAATAGGATTGATTGTGTAATAATTATATATTCTGTTTGGGGTTGATGCTGCTGTTGTTGTTGTTTTTAATACAAAGATAATTTACACTAATTAAGGAGCAAAAGATTTGAGCTGAACCACCTAATGAGCCAATTATAATTGGCATTGTAAATCCAAGAAAATTTGATTTGGGCGCGTCGTCATCAAAATTTATTTATTTACACTTGGATATCTAACATATTATGTTGTAAATTAAAATGACATTGTACTAAAACAAGTTTATCCAATCAAATGTTCACCGTTGCTCTAGTAAGAAAAAAACTCCCATCAACTAATACATTGAGTGAGGAATCTTATTCATTAGCAATATAAACGACCTGCTTCCCAAAATTCCGGCCATAGAAAATTCCGACCAGTGCAGCGGGGGCATTCTCTATCGCTTGAGCAACATCTTCAACATAGACCAACTTCCCTTGCCGCAAGTATTTGATACAAAACTCTGGATACACGTTAACGAAATCGGTCTCCACAAACCCTTTCATCTCAATCAGCTTCAGGATGAGGCTAAACAAATTGTGCACACCCTCTGGTTCGTGAAGATTGTATTGTGAAATCATACCGCAGAGTGCGATGCGGCCATGAGCTTTCATCTGCAAAATAACTTCATCAAGCATGCGACCACCAACATTGTCGAAGTAAATGTCAATGCCTTCGGGGAAGTACTTCCTTAATGCTGAACCTAAATTTTCCTCCTTATAGTTGAACGCTTCATCAAATCCCATCTTTTGCTTTAAGAGTTCAACTTTCTCTTTAGTGCTTGCACTTCCAACCACATAGCAGCCGATCATTTTCGCAAATTGTCCAACAAGTTGACCAACTCCTCCTGCTGCAGAAGAAACATAGACACAATCGCGTTCCTTTGGATAACATATTTTGTGAAATCCAACGTAAGCTGCAATTCCCGGCATTCCCAAAATGCCAGCATAGTATGAGAGGGGCACATCAGTAAAACTGATCTTGTTTAGCCTGTCCGGGGTAGTGATCAAACTGTACTCCTCCCACCCAATCATCCCCCAAACAAAGTCACCTTCCTTGAACCTTGGATGTGTGGACTCCATGACCTTGGACACACCATATCCCACAAGGACAGAACCAGGAGTGAAGGACTGGATAATAGTCCCGGGATGAGCGACCTGATCGGACATGCGGTGGCGCATGTAAGGATCACAAGAGAGGTATAGGTTCTTCAGAAGCACAGCCGGTGAGGAATCACGGGAAAGGCTGCAGTCGATGAAAGATGATCTCAACCCAAAGTCACTCTCTTTGGGGTACCCACTCACAGACTGATTCAACACAATCTGTTTGTTGGGAAGGAGATTTTTCACCATCTTCCTCTTCGTCTCCTCCTTCTCATTCATCTTTCTTTCTTTCCATTTTTTTCATTTTTTTTCTCCTGGCAAAGCCTTCTTGCTCTCGCATATAGATATATGAGCATTGGTGGTGTGTGAACGGTTCGAATGATCCACACACATGCTTTGGTTTCTTCCACATGAGCCTTGGTGTCTTTCACATGAGCTTTGGTCCACATGTGCTTTGGTGTCTAATAATGTCTTCAACATTGGCTTTGGTGTCTTCCTTCCGTAGACAGATTATTATATGGGGCCATCCATTTACAACAGGAAGAAAGTTTGTATTGGGTCAGATTTTGTGTAGCATCAAAAAATGCAGAAGGAATTTTATATTGGGTCACTTTTTGTGTAGCAAGTTGGAAAATCCTTGGTGACTTGCGTCTAGAACCGTTCATCCAATAGTTTGACATGATTGTAAACCTTTTTTTTTTTAATTTTTTTCGGAATTTTAATAGTTAACCTTGCTGTTAAATTGTTATTTGTAGTTAAATAATGATTACGTAAGGAGCCAAACATTGTTCATATTAATGGAGAACATTCAGTATAACATCTTCGCATGTCAATGTTGAAGACGTAGAAAATTCAGTTCTAGTTCTTTCCACTCAGAACAAAATGTGGGAAGCTCCCAGATTGCACAGAAGACATTATGCCTGTTTCTTGAGTCTTACTCCAATCAAATGCCTTACGAACAGATTAGTAGGTGCTTTAAATCACCAATAGTGTCGACATGACCAGTTCCCGTCCTCAAAACAATGGAACCGAAATGAATCCCGGACTATAATTTTTCGGCTAGCAATCTTAGAAATAAACTTAATCGCAGTATGACAATCCACAGATGTTCTTATTTTCTCAAAAACATTGATCGGTGTTCCTGGCGGAGTAGAAATAATGCCAAACGCAACAGCGAGCTTCTCACTGTGGTAGGAGAGGTTCTGCTCTTTCTGCTCCTCTTCAACATCATGCCGCACGAAATTCGTGTCGGAAACATACCCTTGTTCCTTCATCCTCCTCGAGAGTTCGTGCAAATAGTGATGTATTTCATCATATCTAGGGTAAGACATATCTCCCACTAAGAAAACATGCACCTCTTTCTTGATATCGACCCAGCTCAAACTTGGTTTCCTTATAAACCCTCTTTCTCCATCATCTTTTTGACCTTTGTTACTTCACCCCACATACCAACAGTAGCATAAATGTTGGCCAGAGTAATATAAGTAGTTGGATTCTCAGGTTCTATCTCAAACAACGCATCTGCAGCTCGCTTTGCAAGTGTGAGGTTTCCATGAATTTTGCAACCACCGAGTAAGGAATCCCACTAGTACTTATCTGGTTTCGTTGGCATTTCATTACTAATATTCTTAGCTTCTTCAAATCAAACTGCTTGGGCCAGTAAATCAGCTCCACAGGCTAGTGGTCTGCGGTATGAGTTAACCCATGTTTTGCCTTAATCAAATGGAAGTACTCAAGTCCCTTATCAACTAAACCGGCATGAGTACAAGCGGAAAGAACACCTACAAAAGTAATGTCGGGCTTAGGACCTGAATCAAATAGCAACTTAAACAACTGAAGGCTTTCATTAGATTACCATTCTGAGTAAATCCAGCAACCAGGGATGTCCATGTAACCACATCTGGGCGGGCCATCCCATTAACACCTTAATCGCACTCTCAGTGTTTCACACTGTGAATACGTATGAATAAGCACACTTGCTGCAAAAGACAAGGGGTCAAATACCCGTGAACCTGCTTGCCCAGATTCTCAGCAGTATGATGAGCACAGGCATTAAAACCCCTGCAAAGGTGAAACCGTCTAATGCTGGACTTCATCAACTCCGAGAACAAAGAAAATCCCTCTCCCTTCAAAGTATCTGTCAATCATTGTTATCCACGTAACATCCCGATTCACCATCTTACAAAAAATGCGCCTCGCTTCCTCTATCCTCCCACATTTCCCACACATATTCGACAAGGCACTCCAAACCACCTTATCCAAGTCCAACCCAGTTCACATTATATAGCCATGAATCTCCTTCGTTCTTGAACTCTGAATGGCTGCCGAAGCAGCAACAACACTAGACACTGAACTTATTAGATTTCGAATTATCACTCCTCTGCGTCATCCTATACAACCGCAAAGCCTCCTTAGGCCAATCATGGCAAACACACCCCGATATCATCACAGTCCAAGAAAGATTCTCTCTCTGAGGCTTTTCATCAAACAATTTCCTAGCCTCACCAAGCTGCCCCACTTTCGCATACCCCGATACCATCGCAGTCCAAGAAATATTCTGTCTCTGAAGCATTTCATCAAGCAGTTTCCTAGCCTCACCAAGCTGCCTCACTTTCGCATGCCCGGATATCATAGTATTCCAAGAACACAAATTCCTCTCAGGCATTTCATCAAACACCACCCGGGCATCAGAAATGCTCCCACATTTCGCATCCAAGCCGCTAAGACGGTTACAAATGAACAGCCCGGGCACGAAACCGGACGCTCTGGTGTGGGAATGGACCACTTTGCCCTGCCCAAGAGCTCGTTGCTGAAGGCAAAGCCGCACGAGGGTCGAGTATATGGAAGCAAAGGGTTTGTCTCTGTGGTTCAGCGAACTGCTTCCGATAAGCCCTTTTGGTCGTAGAGAATGCCGATTGCCTCACTATGCGGTCTACTTCAACAACATAAAATCAACGGTCAACTACATTTTGAAACCTCCACGTTTATAAAGTCGAAGGCCGAAGCTTCAGATTACTAGTTATGGTCCCTATGGTTCAAGTGTGCCTTCCAAAACGACGTATGGGTCCCACACTTATCAAATCTTCAATTTAGCGAGGGACTAGATGGTCAAAGTGACAAACATAAATTGTCAAGGTCTCAAAATCTCTGTGTAATGTGAAAAATTATAAACTTGTGACCCATTTTTGAAACTCATTTTAAATCTGAAGGGTGTAGAATTTAATTAGTCCTAAAATTAATATACTAAGAATTTATATGAAAATACAAACATGAAAAGACTGACATGAAACATCAACAAATTTGTCGTACTGAAATAGTTTGAAACGCCACAATAACGATAAAAGAAACATAAGTTCATAGCGCTTCGAAGTTGCTAATGCCTTAGCTTCTTTCAGTGCAGGCACTAGTGCCTATAATCCTTAGCTTCTTTCGGTGCTGCTACTAGTGCCTAAAATTGTTGGACCACTACTCTAGATTTTGCAATTGTAGCTTATGCTTGTGACCATGAGTTTCGTCATGTTTTTTATTTTTGTTGTTTTTTTTCCTCTTCGAGGGTTTAGGCCTTGTACCCCTGCATGTATTATTTTATTGTTATTTAATAAAATTGGAGACATGAGACAAGGTTGTTCTATTGGAGAATTAGCTTTTTCTAATTGCTTTAAGCGATAAGGAAATAGCCTACTTTATAGTTGATGGCTAATCCTGATGTTTTGGTTCTTTTTGACCGTCTTGTGCTGGTTTAGAGAGTAAAGCTACTATTGTAATTCGACGACCAAACCTTATGTGTAGTGAAGTTCAAGTCGCCTAATCATCATCCTTCCAACTAGGGGTGGACAAGGACTACTACACACCGTGCAAAGGATCTTGTTAATTTTGTTGTATAAGAGATCAAAGCGGACTTCTCGAGCTCTTTAAGAGTGTATATTGTTCTCATGTTGTAGAATAGTATGTTCTAAATGTAGAGCTAATTGTCTCTTGGGTTGTAGAGTTTAAGAAAGCAGGCTGCTTTGGACCCGGAACTGCTGCCGCAGTTTCGCTATTGGGTAGCATTTCGACCACTTCAGCCATAGATGGTCTCAAAGCAATTGAAGCATGCGTGCAAAGAAGTCTGATTCGAAGCACATTCGAAGTTGTGTAATTCTTAATTATGTAATTTGGGAAAGTACACAAATATATAAACTCTGCCCTTCTTTCTGTTAAAATAAATAAATAAATAAATTTGGACCTGTGGACCTGGCCCAAACCGGCTTGTTTCTAACAGGTTGGGTTGGGTTTGATTACAAAGTTTTGAAATTTTATACCAAGCCAGGCCCATCTCTTTACATTTTCAAATAGGTCCGGCCCGGTCCTTCCAAATTTAGGCTCGGCCCTTCTTCGAATTAAAAAATAAATAGGGTTAAGTCTATGCTCTCTTTTTATTGATTTTTAATTCTTCATTTGTCGATAGGATTATTGGAGTTGGTCCGTAATTCAAAACCAAGGACGTGATTACAATTTGTTGGATGTAAATACGATTTTGGGATGATTTGGAATATATTATTGTTTGTTCATATCCAAAATTGATTATTGAAATTGAAAATCAATCAATTTAATCTCTGAAAATGAGTGCTACAAATTAATATGGTATTTTTATTACAATTATGTCAAAAAATCTGTTATGTGTTGATGTTGCACATAATTAGATCCCACAAGTTTAATTAAATATGTACACACCAATTAAAATATATTTAAATAAATAAAATTTATCATTAAAATTTTTAAAAATAAAAATAAAAATAAAAAGAATCACCATCTGCCTCCCTCCCTAGTACAAGGATTTGGGTTTTAATACCTTCAAACCCTTCAAACTCGAAATAAAAAATTGCGAAATCAACATCATGAGCTTCACTGTTGTAACCACCAATAAACACGGCAGAGGCGAGCCCCCCACCACCAAGTTCATCTCCCGATCCCAAAAGCCCTGCCTCCAATTCCCAATCGGCAGCGTCGCCCAGTTCTTCAAGACCGGCCTCTCCCTCCGTCTACCTCTCTTGCCTCCTCGAGTACCTCGCTGCTAAGAGCAACTCCAGCATATCAAAGACTTCCTAGGGCAACTTACAATTGAATCCCCCCGATGAACAGTAACTGCCTTTAATGAACAATAATTGTCTTTTGCATCTTCATCCCTAAACTGAATAGTCATGGCAATAGATAATAAAATATTAGTATTTTTTATTTTTATAAAATACTAAAAAATAATTTTATTTTTATAAAATAATAAAAAATAATTTTATTTGTAATTTCTGATAGGATTTTAATTGGTTCGTTGTACCATGTGTCATTAAATAAGAAATTACAACCCAAAGTATT